TTCCTTGGGGGGTGGGGGGTGGGGGGTGGGGAGTGGGGGGGAGGGGAAGACAACCAGAAATAAATTCCTTCTTTCAAGGGAGAAGGAATCTGGAGTATTTCAGTTGTGGCTTCATGATGCGTTATCAAGCTTCAAGCTTGGATTACATGAGATAAAAATGTGTGCCAAGATGTTAGAAAAGAAAAATGTTCTCCCCAGTTATTCCTATTTTGTCAAAAGTTGGTCTAAGACCCTATTCGGCTCCCACAGTTGACTGTGAGATGGTTCACATCATCAAAGGCAACAGACATACCCCAGTCCTGAAAGTGAAGTCGCTGTTTTCCTGGCTTCTCTTCCTCTTGCCTCACCTCGCTGAGCCCCAACACTGACAGTGAGACTCCCCACTCTGCTGCCCATTTGCCAAAGGGCTGCTTACCAAGTCACTTGGTTTCCTCATGAACTGACAGGTACAGTAGTTTAAAAGCCAGAAAGTTTAAAAGCTGGAAAGTTTAAAAGCTGGAAAGTTTAAAAATTGTGGTCACAAAGAAGTTTGGGGGGAGGAGGAAAATACGGAAATAACCAATTGCAATAAGGTATATGGCAACAGTTACTAGAGAATGGAGAAGAGGGGCAGACCTTTATTTTAGCACAAATTCTAGTTGGTTTCAATAATAAAAACCCAGAGACAGATGTTGGGGTTAAAGTTGAAGATCCGAGAAGCAAAGCAGCCAGCCAGTGTAGAGTTCTCCAGACTACACTGCTCCTCAGACTGCACTGAGCTCCTGTCACCTCCCACCTTATATTCCTCTCTCCACCCAGCCATGCCACTCCTGTCTCTACCTCCCTAGTGCTGGGATTAAAGGCATGGGATCCCAAGTGCTGGGATCATCTTTGTATGAGCTGTTTCTCTTTTAGACTGGATCAGTTTCATCTATTTCAGGGTGGCCCTGAACTAGCAGAGATCCTTCTGCCTCTGTCTCCTGAGTACTGGGATTTAAGGTGTGTGTCACCACTGCCTGGCCTCTATAGCTGACTAGTATGGCTAACTTTGCACTCTGATCTTCAGGCAAGCTTTATTTGTTAGATCATAAACAAAATATCACCACACTTTATTTAGACAATGAAAATGCTCCTGCTATTCAAAACATGCTATAAAGCTGGGAATGGTGGTTCACATTTGTAATCCTAGTGCTTGGGAGGCTGAGCAGAAGGTTGAGTTTAAGGTCAGACCAGGCTACAAAGTGAGACTGTCATTATGAGTGTTCTGGCCACTGGTATCTTACTTTATCTCTTGTGGAACAATCAGATTAATAAACACACTGGTGTGAAGTGTTAAGGAGGGCAAAGGTGTGGCTCAGGGTATAAAGTTGCTTGCCACCAAGCCTGACCTGAGTTTGAAGCCTAAGACCTACAGAGGAGGAAAGAATAGACTTCCGAAAATTGTCCTCTGATGTTCACCCATGTACCATGGTATACACGTGCTCATATATACACAATAAATAAAATGTGTAACATAATATAAAAACCAGTGACTCTGTGGTCTTTGCTTAAATTTGTGTGCTGAGTGGGGCATTAGAATAATTCTTTTGGCAGGTATGATGGGAATAGCAAGATATTAAACAATTCACACTGATCCCCAAAGCTGATGGGGTGGATGGTGGACACAGACGATGACACACACAACCAAAAACAAGTTCTCTTTTCAAGGGGTGAAGAATCCAGAATATTCTAGTTGAGGTGTCAGAAATGTTGTTTTCAACAGCAAATGTAAATACAAAAACTCAGATACTGTTCTTTTTTTCTGATTATTTACATAAACAAGCTCCACCACCTCAGAATTTCATTTTCCTTCATGCAGAAAGGGTGTCTGGCATCCGTGAAAATTAACCCTATGCCTTACTGAAATAGATGTGGCCTAAGAACAAGGTCATCAGAGACAGCTGGGGAAGAGTGAGAAGCCATCCGAGTCCAGTGGTCTTTCTGTAGGCTGCCACTTAGTCTGAATGACTGTGTCCTTGGCCATGCAGATGCTTTTCAGTTTCATGAGATCCCATTAACTTATTTATTTCTTTAATTTGGTAAGCCAGTGAATTTTTTTATTGTGGTTACTAATAGAAATATGGCTGATAGGGCTAGAATAGCTCAAAAAAGCAGCTGTACCAGCAAGAGCACACCCCCAGCACAAGTGATAGCTCCTAAGAGCAGCAGCCCTGGAGCTCTGCACAGTCGAAGTATATACTCTCTCTTGAGATTGGCTGGAAAGAGTTTCCTTCACCAGCAACTGTTTACCCTTCTAAAAAATTGGGGGAATGGCCTTGGAGAATCCTCTAAGTGTTAACTTTCCCAGGAAATTGATGTTATGTCTATTTCCGAAGTCTCACGGTCCTCTCCATGCCCCCAGAAATGCTTTAATGCAAGGGTACTACTTTACAACACCCTCCATACCACTAATCCAGGGCCCTCTGATGGCCGACCATCTCCTGCCTGAGCTACAATAGGAGCTTTGCTCTCATCAGCTTCTTTTAAGGCCCGGTAATTAATGGTAACTAACCCAACTACTTTGCCTATTTAAGGAGTACAGTTCAGAATAAGTTGTCACTTAGTGTTTTAGGGTTTTCATTGCTGTGAAGAGGCACCATGACCATAGCAACTCTTATAGGGAAAACATTTAATTGAGGGGGTCCACTTACAGTTTCAGAGGTTCAGTCCATTATCATCATGGCAGGAACATGGCGGCATGCAGGCAAATATGGTGCTGGAGAAGTAGCTGAGAGTCCTGCATCTTGCAGGCAACAGGAAGTCGACTGAGACACTGGGCAGTATCCTGAGCATAGGAAACCTCAAAGCCCACACCAACAGTGACACACTTCCTCTAACAAGGCCATACCCACTCCAACAAAGCCACACCTCCTAGTAGTGCTCTTGATCTCTTTCAGTTGTCTTACTGATCTAGCTTAGACTTCAAGTACTATATTGAATAGATATGGAGAGAGTAGACAACCTTGTCTCATTTCTGATTTTAGTGGAATTACTGAGTTTTTCTCCATTGAAGTTGATGTTGTAAATTGTCTTTATTATGTTGAAGTAAGTGCATTGTATCCCTAATCTCTCCAGTTCTTACCATGAAGGGTGTTGGATTTTGTCAGAGGCCTTTACTGCATTTAATGAGATGATCATGTAGTTTTGTCTTTCAGTTTGTTTATATGGTGGATTACATTTATTGGTTTATGTTGAACCATCCCTGCATCTCTAGATGAAACCTTTTTGATCACAATGGATCTTTTTTTATGTGTTCTTGGATTCAGTTTGTAAGTACTTTATTGAGAATTTTTACATCTATGTTCATAAAAAAATTGGTCTTTAATTATCTTTGTTAAGTCTTTATGTGGTTTGGATATAAGGGTAATTGTGGCCTCATAAAGTAAACTGAATAATGTTCCTTCTGTTCCTAGTCTGTGGAAGAATTTGAGGAGTATTGACATTAACTCTTCTTTGAGAGTCTGGTAGAACTCTATGCTAAAACCATGTGGCCCTGGGATTTTTTTGTTATTGTTGTCCAGGAAATTTTTAATGGCTGCTACTATTTTACTAGGAGCTATAGGTCTACTTAAATTGTTTATCTGTTCTTGATTTAACTTTGGTAAGTAGTACCTATTGAGAAAATTATACATTTAGATTTTCCAATTTTTAGAGTATAGGTTTTTAAAGTATGTTCTATGACTGTCTTAATTAGGGTTTCTATTGCTGTAAAGAGACACTGTGACCACGACAACTCTTATAAAGGAAAACATTTAACTGGGTATGGCTTAGAGTTTCATTATAGTGGGACTTGGCTGCATGCAGGCAAATATGGTGCTGGAGGAGATGACAGTTCTACAGCAAAAGGTCTCTCGAATTCCACACTGGGAATAGCTAGAGCATATAAGACCTCAAAGCCTACCTCCACAGTGATGAACTTCCGCCAATAAGGACGCACCTCCTAATAGTGCCACTCCCTATAAGCCAAGCACAGAAACACATGAGTCTGTGGGGCCAGACCTGTTCAATACACAATGAGTCTCTGGATTTCCTGGGTATATGAGCCTATGTCCATCTTTTCATTTCTGATCTGTTAATTTGGATATACTTTCTGGACATTTTAGTTAGTTTGGTTTTGTCTATCTTGTTGGTTTTTCTCAAATAACCAAGTTTCAGTGATTCTTGGTATTGTTCTCTTTGTTTCTATTTTATTGATTTCATCCTTCAGTTTGATTATTTCATGCCATTTACTCCTCTTGGGTGTTTGCTTCTTTTTGCTCTAGAGCTTTTGGGTGTGTTGGTAAGTTACTACTATGAGATATCTCTGATTTTTTTGTGTAGGCACTTAGTGCTATGAACTTGCATTGACCTCATTGTGTCCCAGAAGTTTGGGTGTTTTGTGAATTCATTTTCATTCCATTCTAGAAAGCCTTTCTTAATTTTTTCATTCAGTAGTGAGTTGTTCAGTTTCCATGAGTTTATAAGCTTTCTGTTGTTAACCAGCTTAAATTTGTGGTGGTCAGATAGGATTGAAGGTATTATTTCAGTTATCTTGTCTCTATTGAGGCTTGCTTTATTTTCAAGTATGTGGTCAATTTGAAGAAAGTTCTATATGTGCTGAGAAGTCATATTCTTGGTTTTTGGGTGAAATGATCTGAAAATATCTGTTAGGTCCATTTATTTGGTTTACAACATGTTAGCTCCACCATTTCTCTGTTTAGTTTTTGCCTGGATGACCTGTGTATTGGCAAGAGTGAGGTATTGAAGTCTCCCACTAACAGTGTGTGGGGGTCAATATGTAATTTTAGCTATAGTAGTGTTTCTTTTATGAACTTGAGTGCCGTTGTGTTTGGTATATAGATGTTAAGAATTGCAATGTCTTCTTGGTAAGTATTTCCTCTGATGACTATGAAGAGGCCTTCCCTATGTTTTCTGATTAGTTTTGAAGTCTGTTTTGCCAGATAC